TCTGAGAATGTCATTCACTAAGGCTTGAAAACAGGCAGGAGCATTTGTTAGACCAAAAGGCATGACCAAATATTCGAACTGGCCCAAGGGGGTCTTAAAGGCTGTTTTCCACTCATCACCATCACGGATCCTAAGAAGATGATAAGCGTTCCTCAAATCTAGTTTGGTGAAAACAGTTGCCCCTTGTACAGGTTCAAAAGCTGAGGCGAGTAGTGGAAGAGGGTACTTGTTTTTAATAGTTATTTGGTTCAGGCCTCTGTAATCAATACATGGTCTTAAAGAACCGTCCTTCTTGCCTACGAAAAAGAACCCTGCACCCAACGGAGAAGAAGATGGCCGAATTATCCCAGCAGCTAAAGACTCGTTTATGTATTTTTCCATGGTTTCTCGTTCTGATTTGGAAATATTGTATAGTCTGCTGCTGGGTAGAGGTGCTCCAGGTAATAGCTCGATCGCACAGTCATATGGTCTGTGTGGTGGAAGGGACGTAGCACTGACCTTACTGAAGTAAGGAGTTAAATCATGGTACTCAGAAGGGACAGAAGAAAGGTTAGGAGAGTCCATCTCCCCCCCACCTCTAGGAGACCCCACCACGGGGGCTGCCGAATGGAGGCATGTTTTGTGACATAACGTTGACCACGATTCCACATGACGATCAGTCCAGTTAATATGTGGATTATGTTTCTCCAACCATTCGAATCCAAGCACCAGGGGAGAGCATGCGGAGGGAAAAACAAAAAATGTTATGGTTTCACGATGAATACCTGAGAGTAGTAGCTCGAGAGGTTGAGTTTGATGGGTAACCTGGTGGAGTTTTTTCCCATCAATAGCTGAGACACTAAGAGGCTGGGTCAGGGGAATGGTTTCAATTTGAAGCTGCTGGACAAGGTTTGAATCAATTAAATTTCGTTCACAGCCTGAATCGATGAAGGCAGAAAAAGAGAGGCTTTGATTAGAGCAAAACAAAGTGGCAGGGCTCTTCCTGTCAATTGGGAAAGAATGAAAGTTATCTTTTTATGGTCCGTGGGAAAACTGCCTGGAGAGTTCTGAAAGATTAAACGGCATTGAAACAAAGATCCCTTGCAGTCTTTCATATTTCCAGAGAACTTTTCAGGTAGGCTTGGGCGGAACTCTGATGACGTCACTGCTGGTGACCTCGGAGGCGGAACTGGACCCGGAAATGGTTGCGCTGCCGACGTGGCATTAGCATTGCTCATAAAATTAGCATAACTCTGAAGCATATGATTGTGAGTATCAACCAAACGATATAACTCACGGAGGGTTTGAGTTTGTCCCTGGATTTGGGCATCTTGCTCCTCCAATCGATGGCGGAGGTGATCTGCTGGGCCTTGTGTTTGGCCGCAGTGTTCTGTCATGATGGGTTCTCTAGTGAGACCCAATTATGCAGAACACCACGGAGACGGAAACTGAAGTAAAAGGTTTAACAAAGTTTATTGTCACAAGCACAAGATATTTCACTGGTTCTGGTTCACGTCTGGGAAACTGGTTCACTGGAGTCTGCCTGGGAGACAGTTCAGTTAGCGTTTGATCAGAAGAGTTTGATTCAGAGAGTTTCTGGTTTGTACCTTGAGGGTTCTTGGTTTAAGCCTTGAGAGGGAAACTGTTGGGTCCAGAGATAGTTTGTTCAGCAGAGTCCGTTAACTGCTTCAGCGTCTTACTTCTAGAGAGAGAGCAGACCTTGGATTTGAGTTTCCAGCTCTTGGTCTAGAGCTGCATGGAAATCCAGAGAGGAGTCTTCAGGTTTGGCTCAGAGGGCAGGTTCGGCAGGTTAAGCTCTTCCAGAGCTTCACAGGAGAAAAACAGGTTTCCTGAAAGCAGAGACAAAGGTTAGAATCCAGTCTGGATTCAAAAGTCAACGGAGGTTCTCAGAGATACTAGGCTTAGGTGCTAACCAACTGGATTAAACACTGCGGCGTTGAGGCAAGGTCTGAAGACAGCTTAAATACTGTGGATCCTCTGATGATGGGATGAGCTTCAGCTGTGCAGGAGGCTCCGCTCAGGAGGATCCATGGCGGACTCTGCTGGAGGAAAGTGGTACTTCTCCAGCTCCCAACAGTACCCCCCCTCAACGACCGCCCCTTGGCGGTCCGGAAGATGTTGATGGACAGGAAAGCTCGTACTCCTCGATCAGTGATGGATCGAGGATGTAAGAGCCAGGAACCCACTGGCGATCCTCCGGGCCGTAGCCCTCCCAGTCGACGAGGTACTGCCAGCCGCGACCTCGCCGACGGGAGTCCACGATCCGGCGGACGGTGAAGGCAGGATGACCATCGACTTCCAGGGCGGGTGGAGGGGAGTCGGATGGTGGGCACAGAGGACTTGAGACTACTAGTTTCACTTGAGAGACGTGGAATGTGGGATGAATACGAAGAGACGGGGGAAGTTGAAGGCGTATGGCTGATGGGTTGATGACCTGGGAAATCTTAGGTGGAGCCGCAATCGGCGGGCTCCTCTGCTCCTGAGGTGGAGCCGCAATCGGCGGGCTCCTCTGCTCCTGAGGTGGAGCCGCAATCGGCGGGCTCCTCTGCTCCTGAGGTGGAGCCGCAATCGGCGGGCTCCTCTGCTCCTGAGGTGGAGCTGCAATCGGCGGGCTCCTCTGCTCCTGAGGTGGAGCCGCAATCGGCGGCCACCTCTGCTCCTGAGGTGGAGCCGCAATCGGCGGCCACCTCTGCGGCTGTTTCTGAGTCGCAGTCGGCGGCCCCGGCCTCGTCTGAACCTGTTCCTGAGCCGCGGTGGGCGGCCCCGGCCTCGTCTGAACCTGTTCCTGAGCCGCGGTGGGCGGCCCCGGCCTCGTCTGAACCTGTTCCTGAGCCGCGGTGGGCGGCCTCGTCTGATCCTGTTCCAGAGCCGCAGTCGACGGCTCCCTCTGAGCCTGTTGCAGAGCTGAAGCGGAGGCGGCGTCCTCCTCGGCGCATCCTGCTGAAGCGGAGGCGGCGTCCTCCTCGGCGCATCCTGCTGAAGCGGAGGCGGCGTCCTCCTCGGCGCATCCTGCTGAAGCGGAGGCGGCGTCCTCCTCGGCGCATCCTGCGGAGGCGGCGTCCTCCTCCTAGGTTCCTGCTGCATTGGAGACGCCGGCCTCCAGAGCATCTCTCTCAGCTCCGGCCCCACGGCCGGCCTCCAGAGCGTCTCTCTCAGCTCCGGCCCCACGGCCGGCCTCCAGAGCGTCTCTCTCAGCTCCGGCCCCACGGCCGGCCTCCAGAGCGTCTCTCTCAGCTCCGGCCCCGCGGCCGCCCTCCAGAGCGTCTCTCTCAGCTCCGGCCCCGCGGCCGCCCTCCAGAGACTCTGCCTCGTCTCCGGCCCTGCGGCCGGCCTTTCAGAGACTTTCAATTGTCCTCGCCCACTCTGGATGGGTTGCGTTTTGTTTCTTGGACTGTTTTTGGCTTCTTGCCCTCCTTCCTGGTTCCCCCTCCGCCCACCCTGGGTTGTTTTTTGTTTTTTTTTTGGACGTTAAAGGGGCGTCTGGAATCCGCCCTTAAGTGGGGGGCTCTGTAATGATCTTGGTTCTGTTGTTTTTCTTTAAGTTTTCTGTTTCAAGTTTAACCAGGTTTTTCTTTGTTTTCTAGCTTTTCATTTTTTAAGTTGGATTTTTGGATACCTGTTTTTGTTGCCTGATCTTGCAATAAACCCTCCAAGAATTCACCTCTGCCTCCCAGCTTCTGCTTTTGGGTCCAATCTAAACCTTTTAACCAAACCGTGACAGAAAATGTTAAACAAAAACAGGAATCCAAAAATCCAACATAAAAATCAAACACTAACCAGAACCATGGAGACATCAGAGAAAAACCAACAAGGAGCCAGGGTGAGGAAAGGTAAGACGAGGAACCAGCAAAGAGGGACTGCAGAGGGAGTGTATTTATGGCTGACTGAACAAAGAGAGAGCTAACGAGCTGATAGGGAACAGGTGTGATTAGAGCTGATGAGGAAGCCAAGGGAAAAGAACACAAGGAGGCAGCAGAGGACAGACAGAAAAACCTAAGCAACTTAAATGAATCCAGACACACCAAAAAAGCTAGAAAACAAAGAAAAACCTGGTTAAACTTGAAACAGAAAACTTAAAGAAAAACAACAGAACCAAGATCATTACATGCGAAGCTCAAACGATCTCTTGGGGAAAGTGGATCCAAACCTCCTGTTTGAACCCCAGCTCAGTTTGAAGCTCAGTTGATCCTTCCAGGGAGAAAAGGTCCAAGAAATCTAGTTTGCAGAATGACTTCCTGCCGAGAGGCAAAGACAAAAACAAAGTTAAACTCAGGTTGACAAAAACTCAGTTTGACTCAGCAAAACTCAGCTTGGCTAGAGTATCCCAAACTGGCAAACACTCGAGGTAGTGGTAGTCAGCAGCTTAAGAACTCTCCGTTTAACGAGGAAACCATCAGGAGGTGTGTGAGAAGGCGGACCAGAACCAGGTGCCTCCTGGTGGATGAAGGGACATCCTGACATCATCCTAATAATTATCATCATCATTAGCATAATTTTCTGTATTAGTGGTGCATCCTCATGTGCTGCAATTGTCCTTCACCTTTTCTTTCTATTAGTCTCTACTTACCCCTGTCTCTATCACCTTGGTGTGTTTTTCCTTCTGCCTCTCCATTAGAATGATCAGCAGTGCTGCTCTGCTTCTCCTTTAATTTCTATCCCTTCGCAACCTGGCTCTAGGTTCTAGTCTTCTACCTTGGCCCAGGAAACTTCTTTTTTGAGGGGGAGACTTTTCTAAGTACTCATCCAATTGAATGTTTATTCACAGCATCAAAGTCTTCTGCTGGGGCCCGTGCACCAAAGATCTTATTTCATTTACATTGATGTCTGCATATTTGCTTCTATCTCCTTGAACCCCAAACGGCCTTGGCAGATGGCCGCTCATACTGAGGCCCATTTTGCTAGAGGTTTTCTTCTCCATTGTTGCTACATTCATGCTCAGTGTACGACAAAAAACAATAAATGTAACTCTGACTTATGGTTTTCCTCTGATTTCAGCTGTAGATCGCGATGTGTTCTAAGGAGAACCTTGACACCATCCTTGAGGATTTGAAAAGAAAAGAATTTGACAAATTCAAATGGCACCTTGAGAACGAGACCTGGAATGGAACAGAGCCCATCAAACACTGCAAATTGGAGGGGGCAGAGAGCCATACTGTTGTGGACCTGATGGTGCAAAAGTACCTGCTCAGTGGAGCTTCATCAATCATGGAAAATATTCTTAAGAAGATGGGCAAAAACGACCTGGTGAAGAAGCTAGAACAACTGACTGAAGGTCAAAGGTCAGCTAAAGGTCAGTCCCAGGAGCATCTGGCTGAAGGTGAGGTCAGCTCAAGGACAGTCTCAGACATAAGAACTTAATATCCCTTTAAAGCAGGTGGTCTCCCCTGAACTCCAGAGAGCAAACCCTTGGTGGAGATGTTGAGTCAACAGTAAGCAGAGAATGTTTATCACAAACTGACCCAGGTCTCAGGTTTTCAGGGACACATCCTGAAGGATTCAGCCTGAATCACAGAGACCCTAGCAGAACCTATGCTCTTCCTACTCTGTCCTCATCATCAATTCAGCATATTTTGTTATTTGGTTTAACCTGAGATGTTTCAACAGGGTTCTGTTTACTCCCACAATCATCTTAGGTCATGTTTTGGCTCTTTGTGGAACTAAAATAACTTCTCATACACTTCTGTTTGATCTGTCACCGTTTGTTTGAGCAGAGCATTATGCTGTGCTTGACCTTACATACTGACACATTATGCACTTCCAAGGCTGAAGAAAAGTAGCTACCAATAAAAACTTGTATTTTCTTATTAAGGTGCATCAGCAAAAATGACCATAGTATCAAAAGTATAAAAAATTGAATTTAGAAAATTATATTAGAGCCTAACATTCTGGTGTCTGAGGTGTCTATATGTTTGTATCGCTCCATATCACAGCATGCACAAGCATTTGTTTAACAGTCCAACAGAATATGATACTTTAAGTTTACTTAGGGGTGGTCTAACATGTCCAGAATCAAGGAATGTTTCAAACAGATTTTGACTCCACTTTATTTGGAAGATGATAAAATGATCCAACCTTTTGTGGGCATGTTAATTTCCAGAGGAGGTGGAGAGATATAAATGTAGAGAGAGAGTTGAGGGCAAAATCTAAGGGCTATTGATTCTTTTCGTAATAAACAAAAAAAAAACTGCCAACTAGTGTGTCAGCAGCTTTGCAGCCATTTGGCATTGAGGGTTTCTTTTATTTTTCAAAGCTATTTTATTTCTTTGTTGTTCTTTATTACTTTTAGTAACACTAGATGATGCCTAAAGATGGAACAGCAATAGCAGAACTACAATTGTTTTATATCAGGTGTGGATGACCAAATAGCAAGACTTTTGATTATTAGCAGAAATAGAGGGCCTCACATTTGATAGTACTTGGGTCATCCCTGGTTCGATGACGTGTCCACATGGCTTCAGACATCTTGATTTTCTTTTGTATACTTTAAGCTTCAGGATTTCTCTCTAGTGCAGTGTTTCATAGTAACAGCTGCATAAACTCTGTGCATAATATTAAACGTACTTACATACCTACTTTGATACCTTGCCATTATAATAGAAAGACCCTATAGAAAATTTCACAAATAGTTTTTATTCTTTAATTTTTCTGAAATCTGTTTTTGTCTCTTCATTCAGAGGTTGTCAGTCGATGTCAAGATGACCTGAAAGAGGCTCTGAAAAAGAAATTTGAATGTGTCTCTGAAGGTGTTGCTAAAGTTGGAAAGAAAACCTTTCTTGATGAGATCTACACAGAGGTCTACATCACAGAGGGAAAGACTAGAGAGGTCAATGCTGAACATGAGGTCAGAAGGGTTGAAGCAGCATCCTGGAAACAAAACAGACCAGGAGAAACAATCAGATCAGAAGACATCTTCAATTCATCTGGAGGAAGGGCTCGGATCAGAACCGTGATGACGATGGGCGTGGCTTGCATCGGGAAAACAGTCTTAACACAGAAGTTCACTCTGGACTGGGCTGAAGGCAGAACCAACCAGAACATCCAGTTCATATTTCCATTCACCTTCAGACAGCTAAATGCTCTAAAAGAGGAAAAGTTTAGCTTGGTGGGACTGATTCATAAACACTTTGAACCAATAAGAGATGCAGGCATTGACAGCTTTAAAAACTTCCAGGTTCTTTTCATCTTAGATGGTCTGGATGAGAGTCGACTTTCTCTCCACAATGATGAGATTCTGACTGATGTTACAGAATCCACCTCAGTGGATGTTCTGCTGACTAACCTCATCAGGGGGAAACTGCTTCGTTCGGCTCTCCTATGGATAACCTCAAGACCTGCTGCAGCCAATCAGATCCCTCCTGAGTCTGTTGGCATGGTGACAGAGGTCAGAGGGTTCACCAACCCACAGAAGGAGGAGTACTTCAGGAAGAAGTTTAGAGATGAAGAGAAGGCCAGCAGGATCATCTCCCACATTAAAAGATTAAAAAGTCTCTTCATTATGTGTCACATTCCCATCTTCTGCTGGATCACTGCTGATGTTCTGGAGGGTTTATTGGAGAGCAAAGATGGAGGAGAGCTGCCAAAGACCCTGACTGGGATGTACATCCGCTTCCTGAAGCTTCAGATCGAACGGAAAATGATCAAGTATGATGGAAGACAAAAGACTGCTAAAAACATCAAAATGGTTCAGTCTCTAGGAAAACTGGCCTTTGAGCAGTTGCTGGAAGGACACTTGATCTTCTATAAACCAGACCTGGAAAAGTGTGGCATCAACATCAAAGATGCTTCATGGTTCTCAGGAGTGTTCACTGAGATCTTTAAAGAGGAGAGAGGGATGGACGACACCTCAGTCTACTCCTTCGTTCATCTGAGCTTCCAGGAGTTTCTGGCTGCAGTCTACATGCTCCGCTGCTTCACCAGCAGGAACACAGAGGTGGTGGAGAACTTCCTGGGAGAAAAATACAGAGAAACATCTCTGGACGACTTCATGAAAAAAGCCATGGAGAAATCCCTCAGGAGTAAAAATGGCCACCTGGACTTATTTGCTCGCTTCCTTCATGGCCTCTCTGTGGAGTCCAACCAGAGCCTCTTAGGAGGCCTGTTGGGTCAGATGAAGAATAGTCCAGGAACCATCCAGAGAATCCTCAACAATCTGAAGGAGATGAACACTAGTTATAAGATCTCTACTGATAGATGCATCAACATCTTCCACTGTCGTCAGGAGATGCAGGACCTCTCAGTTTATCAGGAGATCCAACAGTTCCTGAAATCAGGAATGAAGCTCTCAGAGATCCAGTGCTCAGCTCTGGCCTACATGCTTCAGATGACAGAGGAGATTCTGGATGAGTTAGACCTGGAGAAGTACAACACAACAGAACATGGACGATGTAGACTGGTCCCAGCTGTGAGGAACTGCAGAAAGGCTCAGTGAGTCCAGATGTCTTCATGGTGTGATATTGATTCAGCTCTATTGTCCTCCTGGTTTAATTTAGAGAAAAAATAACTTAAACAAAAAAACATAAAATAACTTAAGAACACATCATAAAATAAAAAAATCATAAAAAAACCATGTAGCAGTTTAAATATTATTGATTAACTGAACAGTTTCCAATTTATTTCTTTATTTTTTCCTCTTCTTTGACAACCTTTTGTCAGAGCTCAAAACCTTGGACCGAATATTCAAACAGACAGATCCGAATGAGTTCCAACAGTCTTTATTTACAAACGTGTGAGGTTGGTCATCAGCTGGAGCAGATAAACTGGATCCTCTGAAGAAACAGAAGCTCAGGTCAATGACTAAGAATAATGGCTGATAAGCTCTGGGTGATGAGTGGAATTGATGCCAACTGATGCGGAGGAGCAGCTGTGTCCTAGAGGGAATATCTGAGCTGAAGTCCTAACGGAACCAAGTTCATAAACCAGAGGATCATACCCCCATGAGGTACAGATGGGGGAATCCAAGCAGAGGTTAGAAAAACAGTCCGGGTTCGGTAAGCCAGTAGAATCCAGGAATCAGTTCAGAACAGATCAGACTAATAGAGCAGACAGGGGCAAAGCAAAAACTCAGATTCCACAAGACAGAAACAGGTCCCAATCAGATAATCAGAACAATAATCAAAACAATAGAGTTACTCTCACCAAACAGCTTGAATAATCTGGCACTGGCAGCTGGAAAACAAACAGTTTATTTAGGAGCTGGAAACAGGTGGATCAGATAAGCATAATGAGAAAATGGGCGGAGTTAAACAGGTGGATTGAATGAGCAATCAAGCCAGCCACCAGTGTCTTTTTAAAGAAAAAAATGGTATTTTGTATCAAACAGTTAACAAAGCAATCATATTAATAAGCACACAATGTGCCAACTGAGGCACTGGTATAAATTAAAAACACATCTGGCTTTTGCTTTCTCTGTGTACAAGGTAGGCTATGTCAGATTGAGGTCACACATCAGACATAGTTTTGTAAACATACAAGGATCCAAACTTCAAGTAATGGTGTTTATTTGTATACATCAAATACACTCACCGGCCACTTTATTAGGTACCCCATGCTAGTAACGGATTGGACCCCCTTTTGCCTTCAGAACTGCCTCAATTCTTCGTGGCATAGATTCAACAAGGTGCTGGAAGCATTCCTCAGGGAGTTTGGTCCATATTGACATGATGGCATCACACAGTTGCCGCAGATTTGTTGGCTGCACATCCATGATGCGAATCTCCCGTTCCACCACATCCCAAAGATGCTCTATTGGACTGAGATCTGGTGACTGAGGCCATTTGAGTGCAGTGAACTCATTGTCATGTTCAAGAAACCAGTCTGAGATGATTCCAGCTTTATGACATGGCGCATTATCCTGCTGAAAGTAGCCATCAGAAGTTGGGTAGATTGTGGTCATAAAGGGATGGACATGGTCAGCAACAATACTCAGGTAGGCTGTGGCGTTGCAACGATGCTCAATTGGTACCAAGGGGCCCAGAGTGCCAAGAAAATATTCCCCACACCATGACACCACCACCACCAGCCTGAACCGTTGATACAAGGCAGGATGGATCCATGCTTTCATGTTGTAGACACCAAATTCTGACCCTACCATCTGAATGTCGCAGCAGAAATCGAGACTCATCAGACCAGACCACGTTTTTCCAATCTTCTATTGTTCAATTTCGATGAGCTTGTGCAAATTGTAGCCTCAGTTTCCTGTTCTTAGCTGAAAGGAGTGGCACCCGGTGTGGTCTTCTGCTGCTGTAGCCCATCTGCCTCAAAGTTCGACGTACTGTGCATTCAGAGATGTTCTTCTACCCACCTTGGTTGTAACGGGTGGTTATTTGAGTCACTGTTGCCCTTCTATCAGCTCGAACCAGTCTGGCCATTCTCCTCTGACCTCTGGCATCAACAAGGCATTTCCGCCCACAGAACTGCCGCTCACTGGATGTTTTTTCTTTTTCGAACCATTCTCTGTAAACCCTAGATATGTGCGTGAAAATCCCAGAAGATCAGCAGTTTCTGAAATACTCAGACCAGCCCTTCTGGCACCAACAGTTATGCCACGTTCAAAGTCAATCAAATCACCTTTCTTCCCCATACTGATGCTCGGTTTGAACTGCAGGAGATTGTCTTGACCATGTCTACATGCCTAAATGCACTGAGTTGCCGCCATGTGATTGGCTGCTTAGAAATTAAGTGTTAACGAGCAGTTGGACAGGTGTACCTAATAAAGTGGCCGGTGAGTGTATATTGTATACAATATATTAACATCAAATATATTGTATACAATAATAAACCTGTTCTAGAAACAGGTTTATTATTAATGCAGAGCCTGCTGCAGAAACAGATTAAAATGGGGCATTCCATGTTTTAAAAGGGGGGGGGGGGGGGACTCAAGAAAAGTTTATTTTCCAAAGCTGCAAAGGCGATGATCTCCCTCTCACGTCACTCCTAAAAATCCACTACACCTCCAGCCCATTTAACTGCAAGCTGCACTGTGTGTAAATACTACATGCTACAATCCATGAACATCTGATCTTGTTTACATTTTTTGTCTACTCTCAGGATGTTAGTCTATTATTATTATTATTATTATTATTATTATTATTATTAATTATATTATTAACTTCTGTCTCTGTATTATATGTGTATTTAGAGCTGTTTCAGAAAACTGTTATCATGGTGATATAATAACAATAAAAACTCTTGATTCAGCTTTGGGGGCATAAGTATCAGATCAGGGTGTTAACTTGTACCTAAAACTAACCCAGGTTTATTTGTGTCGGGGTATAAGTACATACCATGAGCTACGTTAGTGTTGTAGCTGTGATCTCATCACTGACACTTCTTCCATCTTTTTGAGTTACACTATTAGCTTCTTGATAATGCAGCTAACTCAACCCAAGGAAGGCCCCAGGGCCTAACATACCTGGACGGTTGTACAAGGAGTGTACAGATCAGCTGGCTGGGGTCCTCACTGACATTTTTAACACCTCGCTAGACCGATCCGTAGTGCCAGCATGCTTCAAGTCTTCCACCATTTTTCCAGTCCCAAAGACGCCTCAGGTGAACTCACTCAATGATTACCGGCCTGTTGCACTGACACTGATGGAGTGCTTCAAAAGGCTGGTTAAAGAAGACATCATATCCAGTCTGCCACCATTATTCGACCCGTTCCAGTTTGCCTACTGACAGAACTGCTCCACTGAGGATGCCATCGCTGCTGCTCTCCACCTGAGCCTGGCACACCTGGAGGAGAAGAACACCCATGTGTGGATGCTGTTCCTGGACTTCAGTTCAGCTTTCAGCATCATCTTCCCACAGCATCTGATGGGCAAAATTAAATGTTTCTATGTGAAAGACACTGTATGAAGGGATTTTTGATTCATTTACAGAATATTTACTACTCCATTGGTTTATGAGAGATGTAACCTTCCTTCTTCCTGCCTCCAACTGGGCTAAACAATAAATCCCTAGTGTTTTCTTTATTGAGGTTTTTATTATCTGTTGATGAATTTTATCTGTGAAGTTACCCTAAAATAGGGGCAACCCCCCTCCCAACGGGAACCACACATCTTGTAAGAGAGGAGAGGAGAAGTTAGGAACTGATGATTATTAGCAACATCTGAACAGTAGAAGATCGGACATTATATTACAGTTCACGCTTCGTCTCCTTCATCAGGTTCATGAATGATTTCATCAAGTCTAAAGTCATGAAATGAGTGACAGGAGTCTGACCTGAGTTAGACCTCTGAACAGGCCATTCTTCTCTTTAGAATCATCAATAGTGTCCTTCATCCAGCTCGATCAGCCTCTTAATCAGTTGCTTCAGTTCCTTTGAGTCTCTGATGCTGCAGCTCTATCAGATGCTGCAGAGAAAACTAAACTTTCCTTCAAAGACTGATAGAATATTGTAGCATCTGAATGTAGCGGAAGGTTCAAGGTTTCCTCAGGTCTGATGACTGTTTAGTGTCAGAAGGTCATCTGGATATTGGAGAGTCAGAGCTCAGCATGAAGAAACAGGAAGGTTTGCTAACAGGCAGCCAAGATGGCTGCTGCTAAAACCTTCAGTGTTGTTCTGTAAACATGAAGCCTGAGCTGTTTGAACCTGTTGCTCAGCTTCTTTGTTTGTCTCCATCACTGTGGTTCAATGGAGCTTCTAACCAAAGCAGTGACACAGCAGGTCTGCAGCTGAACCAGGACCTGAAGTGACTGAAGAGATTCTCTGTGGTGTCAAACACATAACATTGATGCGGAGAGCACATGTTAATCAGATGATGACATCACTGTTTGCTCATGTTTATTCTGTGTTTATCATCCAGATTGTCTGATTTCATTAGAACTGACTCTATTTCTCCTCTAATCACAGACTTGGTGGCTGTTTTCTCTATGAGGCTGAATGTGAAGTTGTGGCCTCAGCTCTGAAGTTCAACCTTAATCTGACTGAAGTGGAAATAGAGACAATCTTTGGAGATGGATCCTTTGGAGACTCTGACATGAAGCACCTGTGTGAGATACTGGAGAGTTCAATCTGCAAAGTGAAGAAACTGAGGTGAGTTTTCTCTGTTTATTTGAACAAAACCATTCACTGACACTTTAATGCTGATTTTAATTCATCATTTTATTTTAATATATTTTCTTTAAAAACAGATGCTGTACAAATGTCAGAATGCACTTTCTCAGACTTTTTACCTTGTAAATGAATGATTTTCCTGTTCTAGATGTTTTAAATATTGAACTTCATTTTCCAGTTGTCTTTCAATTGTTTTGGATTGATAGAGAAAAATTAGGAAAATCAGTCAAATTATGTTAAGTAATGACAGAGATGTTTCAGTTTGCTTTGGGAAAGATTCACATGATGAGATAAGATGGCTTTATTTCTCATTTCTGATTCACATCTTTACATTTAGAATGACATTTGGTTCCTCTAGAATAGAACCAGAACCACAAACATGTTAGAATAACTAGAGTAAAATGAGATTACCTAAAAACTAATGTTTAGGAAGAAAAGACTAAGACATGAAATCTTTTTCCTTAAGCTGCTGTTCTGTTGGAGCTGGTCAGAGAGAACCGTCCCCTTTAATCCGTCAGCTGTCAGAGTCGCTTGGAGCCACAAACACTTAGTTACTGAACTTAGCAGATTTTTATTTGTGACTTATTTACTTCAATATTTATTTTTCAGAATCATTTTTCCTTGTACTTCCTACATTTGAACCCAAATATCTGGACTTCCTACTCCTTTCTTTCTTCAAACGGGCTAATTTCCACTCCCCGTATTGATAAGGACATGACGGAAGAGCTGAATCAAAACAGGGGAAATCAGGAAGAGAATCTGTCCAGTTGGAGACCAGTTAATTTGTAGAAAAACACTAATAGGGACATGGATGAAGACAGTAGGCTGGAAAACACCACAGATGATGGGTCAGATTCTGAGACACAGACATTCCCTGTCAATTCCCCCTTTATTGTCCATGTGGATTCTGTTTTCAGCTTTAATGCTGTGAATAGCAGAGCTTTAAAAGGATTCAGCTGCTGATGAAGCACTTCTATTCATTTCAATCTATATCATCCTGTCTGAAATTTTAATCTAGAACCAACCTAGATCCAGTCCGTATTTTTATTTTCTCCCTATCAACAAAAGTTTCTTACCAGGGAATTTATTTTGAAGAACCATATTTTTAACATGTATTTTTATCTTTTAAGGCAAACACTTAATTCTAATTAAGTAGAAAATGAACTTTTTTCCTTATCTTTTTCTTCAGGAAATGACTTCTGTCAGTTTTTTCTTACAAAAGTATCTGTACTTTTACTTTAGTGAAGAAGGTGAGAACTTCTTACACCTCTGGGTCCAGGGAGTTTTGTTCCCGTAGTTTCTAGCAACTCCTCTGGGCTTTATCTCCATCTTGTCATGTTTGGGTTTTCAGACTCTGAATAGGAGCAATCACGGAGGCAATGATCAGTTAAGGGTTTTATTGAAGTTTTGTGGTGTACAGAGAAGAGACTGGCAGGCAGGGTTGTCAGGATACTGCTGGAAGAGGTTTGGTGACAGGTGAGAAACAGTTCGGTGCAGGTAGAGAAGTGAGGGATGTGTGAGACTCACAGAGAGGAAGGCTTGGCGTCTGTTTGGGAGGATGGTGTCCAGTGGTCCAGACTATTGGTTCAGGTCCGGTTGGTGAGATCAGATGGTGGTGTCTGAGGGTGGACAGGCAGGTGAGCTCAGGCAGGAGGGCTTCTTATGGTTCTGAGGCCAGAAGCCTCACTGGTTCCTAGAGGCTGACTGAAAACGCCTCTAACGGGGGTCCAAAGCGAAGAGGTTTCTGGAGTGGTTTCTAGGCTTGGGATCCTGGATTCTAGGAGAAGGGAGCAGAGAGGACAGGGTTAGATTCAGGCAAAGCTAAGATGCTAGGCTTGGTTCTGGATCAGTTGAACCAACGCTGGAGCATTAACGAACTGACACCCTCCTCCTGGTTCCAGCTCCTTAAAAAGGGTGGGAATCAGCTTGATGAGGAGAACCTGCCTGTCCAGCCCTGCAGAGAGAGAAAAAAGGAAAAACCCAGCCTGCACCCAGGACTGGGAGTATGACACATCTCAGTTTGGTAGCAGCTGCGTACCAGTGCTATACTATATTCAGTGACCCTGGCCAAAGAGACAATGTGTTCAGTGATGCTGTATGATTGGGCCAGCACAGTGTTAGTGAGGAAAATAACCAATGGTCCTTGGACTAGTGTTTATCACGTGTTGGGGTCACATATTCTGCCTGAATGTTTTTAATGGAAAGTTTTAATCTGCATCCTGTTGAATTCAGCTAAAATATTTTATTTTCTCCCCAGATTGGAGGACTGTAGATTATCAGAGATTAGTTGTGCTTCTCTGGGCTCAGCTCTGAAGTCTAATCCATCCCATCTGACAGTACTGATGCTGAGAGGAACCAACCTGGACCCTGGAATGAAGGATCTCAGTGGGTTTCTCCAGTCTCCCCTCTGCAAACTACAGACATTGAGGTCAGATATTGTATCCAACCATCCATCCATTCGTTGTATATTTGTTTATTCTAATTTAAATATCAGTGTGAAGGTAGATCACTGAGCTACCAAATGATTAATAGGCTATTTGATCAACAGATACTGCATGATTACATTTCCAACCCAATTAATGGTCCAGTTTACAATTTGTTGAATGAATGAAGCAGAAAAAGCAGTGTGAAGAACAGTTTGTCCTTTAAATAAGCAGCCAGTGATTTCATTCAAAAGGAACGGTGGAATTTGTGTTACTTTCTGGGTTAGAGAATAAAACTGTTATTGGTGTTCATCAATGAAGCTAAAAGCAGTGCGTTTTATTTCTGGGTTAACATCTAAGAAAAAGCTTAAAGTAAAAAGGTCAATCAGAGATGTTAAACTTTTAAAGCAATTTAATTTATTCTAACTTAATGTTTAATTTCTAAATGAGATTAACTCTAAAGATGTGACAAAATAATCCTATTTCATTGGATGTTTGGCGTTAACATGTGTTAAAGTAAATGATTCTGACTGTGGAAACCAGGAAGTGATACCAGTTCTCTACTTGTTAACTTTATCCTGTTCCTTTTCTATCTGAGAGATCATTTCTGGCTGAACAACATTTAGATTTCAGAGGATATTGAACATGATGACTATATGACATGAAAGCTAAGACTAGAATTTGTTAGAAAGTGGCTTAGGCCTTTTTGATGACTTGAAGAACAATTAAGATCCTGGGCCTCATGTCTAAGAAGGCTGACGTGACTCATTTAGAGCCAGCCTCCCAGCTTGAATCCAGAATATCCACACTCCCACTGGACAGATTTCCAGTCCGTTTGTGCTTTGATACTGCATGTATAGCTTTCCAATCAAACTATGCCTGGCAATTTACAGCTGACTCCTGTTTCCATGGTAACAAAATGGGTGGGAAACAAGATGGGTCCAGGAAACGTAATCTTTTATTAAAAAACACAGGGAAAAAACCCACATCAGATATTTCAAACTTTTTCAGCGAAACAGGATTCAAAATTTTTTTGGATCATCTTTCCTGATCATATTAACAGGATCCTAATATGGTCAGAAAACTGTGAGCTCCTCCTCCCACTTCCCCCACTCTCCATCAAACAAGCTCCTATATCCACTTTGTTCCCTGCCATAAAGAAAACATGTCTGAGAAAATAATCCTATTATACATGATCAAATTCGAATGATGCAACATATCAACATCTTTAAATTCAATGAAATGATGAAACGGATGATCAATGATTGTCAGCAGAAATTTCCATCATTTAAATCTATCTTTCTGCTCCTGCAGAGCCCACCGCTCTGACCGACATGAGTTTTCATGACTTTAACCTGATGTTTTCTGACTGACTTGAAGCTCTGACTGAACTCTGGACAACAGCTGACAGGAAGGACATTGAGCTTCCTAGAAACATCCTATTGTGGTTCAAAGTAAAAATAAAATGGTTAACCGAACCGCTTAATTTCTGCCGTTGTGTCTGACTATTATCAGTTATATTACAAACGTGAAAAATATAAACATAAAAAAAACTAAGCAATGTCTATGATTTTTTCACTACATGCATCATGTTTTAATACTCTTTTTTTAAAACGTTTTTACAGCACTAGTGGCTTAGTTTTTTAACAGTAGACTGACAGGAAAGGGGTTATGAGAGAGAGAGACTTGTGGGAAAGGACCACAGGCCAGATTCGAAACCGGGTTGCCTGCTTCGAGGACTAAGGCCTCCGTACATGGGTCGTACCAGCTAACCAATGCGCCACCTGCACACCCATGTTGTAGTACTCTATGCAGTGACATACCAGGGTTGGTTGCTTCTGTAGGTACCAGTTGAATACATTGGTAATACTAGCTTTACCTCACAATTCTAAAAGACCTAAGAACTTTGGTATGATGGTGGACAAATCTGAAAGGCCATTCAAGCATCCAAATCCCATTGCTTATATTTTTTTGCCCATTTGGCATGTGACTCGAGCAGTTGGAAGGAGAGAAGAGTCCACTGCAGAGTCGACATTCTAGATAGATCTATCCAAGCTATCTGTAGCCAAGGTCACATTTTCTGGTGGAATATTTTAATGAAAAGTTTTAATCTGTTAAATTTAGCTAAAATCTTTTATTCCTTACTCAGATTGATTGACTGCAGATTTTCAGAGATCATCTGGGCTTCTCTTGGCTCAGCTCTGAAGTCTAATCCATCCCATCTGACAGAACTGGACCTGGCAGGAAGCGACCTGGACCCTGGAATGAAGGAGCTCAGTGGGTTTCTTCAGTCTCCCCTCTGCAAACTACAAACACTGAGGTCAGATGCAGTATATTTGTTTATTTTAATAAAATTACAGTGCAAAGCTCAGTGTGAAGGTAATTCAGTGAGCGAGTAAAGGATCAATAGGTTGCTTGATCAGAAGATGCTGCATGAACACATGTCCAACAAATGGGAGGAAAGTGAAAGAAGGAGAATTGTCAGCCAAAATGTTTTGTTTGAAAATGCAGATGTATCAAGAAATGCAGACAGATTTATTAATTCACTGGTGTGTTACTGTTATGATGGTTTTAAAAATTAATATTGACCTACACATAAAATATATTATAGGCTTTCATTTTATTATAAAATGTATTTTAAAATATAAAAACACAGCAAATCATTGACTTGCATTGACTTGGATAGATATAAAGGTGAAAAATAAATGAAAAGTTGAGTTTGTGTTTAGCCTTCTATTTTCATAGGATTCATTTCTATTGGATGCGACAGGGGGACAGTGGAGTTAATAAACAGCTGGGAAGTAGATGATGAATGATGCTAGCTGCTGTCTTCTGTACTGCTTGTAGGTAATGGATGGTCTTCTGGTGGACAGAGAGGAGGGGAGTTGAAATTCTAAAGTCCAGTGAGTGGACTTTAGAACCGGGATGGAGAGGATGGAGAGGGCTGCCTAGGATAACTCCAAGGATTTTAAGCTGAAAGGTGAGAGGGATACAGGAATAGATGCTCTCAGTGGAGACGCTTTTCCTGCTGTCCCTCTCCTGGCCCCAACAGCTGAATAGTTAGATGCTGATCCTACAGCATCAATAGAAAATATCCATGTTGGTCTGGAGGGAGCTGCCATTCAATGGGCATGAACCCCAGAGCTGAATACTAAATGGGTGATGTGTCTAAATCAGCATCACTGCTGCCCTCTATAGGAGGGAATGAAGAAGGTGAACCATCCCTCTATCTTCCCACTTTAAAGAATTGTCACAGTTTAGTTGGAGGTTGGTTGAGGACCCAAATGCAGACACCAGAAGAAGTGAGTCTTTCAGATTTAATAAGGCAACTGAAACAGAAATCCAAAATACTGATGACCAAAAAAAAGATGACATCAGTGAGAACTCGCGTGGGAAGCCAGAGACAAGAGAACAATGAAACAACAAGGAAGCTCCAAAGGGGAGAACTATAACAAGAACTGTGTCAGGAAAATATACACAATATAGTTGTTATAGGATAGTGAAAATATATTCATATTTTGTTTCAGCTTTAACAATGAATCGATGTTAGTCAAACAAGAACGTTTTACAAATAATGCTTTTTTTCTTTTCTTAAATTTTTTTAAGTATCTAAAAGATGAGAAAAGCTTTTTTATTAAAGCTCATCAAGCTTCTGAGTTATTTAGAAAAACGTTTATCTGATCATCATCCAATAAACCTACATTTTTAAACTCAGATATGTCATGATGGGTTTCAGAAAAGCCCAGTATGCAGAACACCACGGAAACGGATGAAAGGTTTAACAAGTTTATTGAGCACAAGCACATGGAATAAACACAGGAACTGGTTCAAGCCTGGGGGCAGGTTCACTGGAGTCTGTGAGGATGACAGTTCAGTTAGCTTGGGAGCAGATGGGTTCGAGTTTGAGAGTTTCTGACTTATACATTGAGGTGTCCGGGTTTGGCTTTGAGAGAGGAACTGTTGGGTCCAGAGACTGTTTAGTTCAGCAGAGTCCAATAACCGCTTCAGCGTCTTACTTCTAACGTGAGGGTAGACCTTGGCTTTGGGTTTCCAGCTCTTTGCCCAGAGCTGCGTGGGAATCCAGAGAAGAGTCTTCAGGCTTGGCTCAGAGGGCAGGCTCGGCAGGTTAAGCTCGTCCAGAGCTTACAAGGGAAACTGGATTCCAAACTGGATAAACACTGCGGCGTTGAGGCAAGGTCTGAAGGCAGGTTATATACTGGAGGATCCTCTGATGATGAGATGCACCTCAGGTGTGTCGAAGGCTCAGCTCAGGAGGATCCACGGCGAACTCTGCTGGAGAAAGGTGGAACTTCTCCAGATCCCAACAAGATAATCTTGAGAAACTGATTAAATAGATTTTGTTGAATCTTTGTCAAATGGTCAGATCCTAAAAACACATTTGATTATTTTATTTATGATGAGAGATTTCCAAAACATGAGATAAACATTGATTGAGCTGTAACTTCCATTTTTCCTGCTCTGAGTCAGTATTAAGGTTTAATCTTGATCTTTGGTCTGGATTGATCCGTTTCTTTCAGTTCCTGTGATCGAAGATGCACCAGGCTCCACCTCTGCTCTGAAATCAGCCCTGTTCTCCTGCTGCAGGGTTATTTGGTTGTTGTTGTTTTTATTTCTGTGTAATGATGGTGGCATGTCCACATCCCTGGACTGAGCAGCTGTTCTGCCCATTAAAGTAAAGACAAACTGCCAGTGCGTCCCTGCATGGAGCTCCTAGTTTATAATCGCAGTGCCCCCTGTGCACAAATACCAATTTTTCTGTCTTGTTTCTTCTGCTTTTATCATAGTCAGGTTATGGTGGAGCAGGTAGGGATTATATGAAATACAGTCACAATAATCACATTACTTTTTGATAAAAATATTTCATTTTGATGAAATTTTGTGCCACAACCATCGCACAGGCTGATGAAGGCCCTGTCCTGCGAACCTTACTGTAATTTTCAACATTTGGAGGCTTTTAAATAAAGAGTTTGTCCCATAGATTCTA